AAAAGTGATGATTTACTTAAGTTATTGGCTCTAGAAATTAAGAATTTTAAAAGTAATGACCTACTTAAATTACTAACCTCATTATTGAGAATTTTAAAAACAAAGATCTACTGTTCCAAGATTTAAAATTTTAAAAACAAAGACCTACTTAAGTTATTGGCTTCATGATTAAGAATTTTAAAAGTAAAACACTAAGTTACTGGACTTATGATCTAGAAGTTGAAAAGCAAAGTTCTAACAATTATGATTAAGAATTTTGAAAGTAAACACCTAATTAAGTTACTAATTGAGATTTTGAGAGCAATTATGTTAATCAAAAATTTTAAGAGCAAAATTTTAATTAAGATATTGGTTATATTGATCAAGAATTTCAAAAGTGAAGTTCTGATTAAGTTACTGGTCTCAATAAGAATTTTAAAAATAAAAATTTTAATAGCTAAAATCTGATTATTCTGTTGGTTCCATCTAATAAGAATTTTAAAAGTCAGCCATATGAATATGATCAAAATTGGGAGGTGTGGTGTTAAGTATATATACTAGGTAATTGTTGAGTATAGTATAAATTTATACTATAGAGTATACTCTTTATACTATAAAGTATGCTAGTTTATACTTATGTATATGATACTCTAAAAAAATTTTTTTATACTCATAAGTATATTATACTAATACTGGTGTTATAGTGCTGAGGTTCTATTAATACTATAGTTAGATAATGTAAGTGCAGGAGATTTTGTGATTGTCTTTAGTTATATATAAAATATGATCTTGTATACAAAAAAATTTAGTGCAAAACAAAAGCCCGGAGGTAAAATGTTAGACCAACATTTTTGAGATCTTTGGTAAGTTAGCTTGTTTTTTCTGTTTGATTTTTTCTTGTTGTACTTTTCTAATGATCTTTTATTTTGATTCTCTATATTTATTTAAAATGACTCTTGAGCAATATCTTTAGTTAGACAGGTTTTAGTTAAGTTGTTTTTTTCAGCATTTTATTTTTTTTTGTCTTGATATTGCTTTTTCTTTTTATTGATCTTTTTTTTTTGTTAATACTTATTCTTTGAGTAACTCTTGAGTAGTATCTTCAAATTGGTAAAATTTTATTGTTTATATTTTAATTGCCTAGTACTATAACAATTTTGATCTTGGGCTTCTCTAATACTTTCACTATTCTAACTGTTTTGAAAATAGTAAACATGAAAGTGGTTAAAGGTGATAAATATAAAGTAGTGATTATGGAGATAGTAAACATGAAGATGATGAATATTGAATATAAGGGTAATATACATAAGATAATAAACATGAAAATAGTGAACGTGAAGATAGTAAACATAAAGATGGTGAATATAAAGATAGTAAACATAAAGATGGTAAATATAAAGATGATGAATATAAAGATAGTAAATATAAAGATAGTGAATATAAAGATGGTGAATATGAAGATAGTGAATATGAAGATAGTAAATATGAAGATAAAGATAGTGAACATAAAGATGGTGAATGTGAGATAGCAAATATTAAGGAACTCAATGTGAAGATGATAAACATAAAAATAGTAATGTGAAGATAGTGAATAAGAATGTGGTAAATTTGGTGATGAATGTGAGGTGATAAATGTAAGGATTGTGAATAAGGTAGTAAACATATAAGTAGTAAATATGTAAATAGTGAATATGTAAATAATAAATGTATAGATAGTAAACATGAGGTGGTAAATTTAAAGGTGAGAAATATGAAAATAGTAAATATAAAAGTGTTGAATATAAAAATAATAAATGTAAAAAGTAAATATAAAGATAGTGAATATTAAGATAGTAAATACAATAATAATAATAATAAATATACAATATAATAAATATGAAGGTAATAAAGAAAATTTAAAAATTATTATATATAGAATTAGCAAAATTTATATTTTATTAATAAAAATTAATAAAAAAATTTTTTACAATATATAGGGTTGAGTCAATAGAAACCAAGCAAATATTTTTTAATAAGTTTTTTTAAAATTTTAAACAAGAATAACT